TTCAATGAAAACTCACTCTAAGATGCCACATGTTTTCATTATGTGTCTTTATTACTGAAGATCTGCAAATGGTTGTGCTTAACACAGCTTCATGTCCTCAGATCAAAACATGGCTTCTCCACCTCCGAGTCAGCCTCATACTACAATAAAAAAAATGACTCAAAGTTTCTATTTAAGCTGGAAGGATAGATTTATCAGCCATTGAGATGGGAAGGGTGGTGGTGCTGTAGATGGAGGAGGTTAGAAGGAAATATCTAAAATTCGCTTTTGAACATATTTTATCTTAGAATCTATCAAACACCCAATTGAGGCAGACTGTAGGCATTTGAATGTAGGGCTCTGATACTCAGATTTTTTTTAATGATTTTATTTATTTACTTTTTGGCTGTGCTGGGTCTTCACTGCCGTGTGGGCTTTGCTCTAGTTGTGATGAGTAGGGGCTACTCTCTAGTTGAGATGCGCAGGCTTCTCATTGCAGTGGCTTCTCTTGTTGGGGTGCATAGGCCCAACAGTTGTGGTGTACGGGCTTAGTTGCTCCATGGGCATGTGGACTATTCCCAGATTGGGGATCAAACCCATGTCTCCTTCACTGGCAGGTGGATTCTTTTTTATTTTTTTGGGCAGGCGGATTCTTACCATTCCAGAGCCTCCAGGGAAGTCCTGACTTTTGGCAAAAAAAAGTGAGATGTTTTATTCTTGATGGGCTGATTTTTTAAGAATGATCAGAGCTATGCAATCTAGACTCCCCAAGAGAAGAAATTAATGTACAGAAATAATGCCAAGTAAAATGTCTCATACCTGGATTCTTACAGCTACAGGTGAGTCTAATGTTTTAGAAAAAATAAACAGAAAGCAGGATATCTGGGAAATATTAAAGGATTGTCTGGAGTTATAAAAAGATGTTCCTTTTTCTTAAGGTGGAATAAACATGTGGTACCTACCATTCACATTCCTGATCTCTAAAAGGTAGATTTCAGATAAGAGATTTCAAATCAGGCTGCACCCTTGTTAGCTCTTTTCCTTTTCTTGTACTGTCATTAAACTTCTCATATTAATTTCCCCTAGATAAATCATGTCTCGTTAACTCTGTGTAAGGTGCTTCTTCTGCAAAACCCAACGTTAGGCAGAACACGTTTGGTCAAAACCTAAGATGTCAATCATGTGAATTATGTCAGTGATATTAGGTTTCACTTCCATAAGAATATAAGCGAAGGCCAGGAAAACTGCCTTAAATGTATAACTGCTGAATCAGACTAAATCTGGCCCTGCCCTGTTTCTAACAAGATACTGAGTTGTTTTTCAAAGACACAACAAAACTACAAGTCATGCAGTCAAACCATGCACTAAGATTTCAACCTCAAACAACATTCAGGATCAGAATTTGTCCCCTGTCCCTATTTTTAATTTTCTTCTTCTTTTTTTATAGTGTGTTTGACTGGTTTTGGTATCAGGGCAATAATGAACAACACTGTAGAATAAATTTCAGTGTGTTTCATCCTCTTTAGTTTTTTGGGACAGTTTGAGAAGAAGTCATATTAGCTCTTCTTCATATGTTTAGTAAAACTCCTCTGTGAAGCAGTCTAGTCCTGGACTTTAGTTTCCTGGGATTTTTTTTTTTTTTCTTAAAGAACCAGAATATATATTCAAGTGTGCATGGAACATTCTCTAGCATAGACTACACACTACCTCACAAAACAAGCCTCAACAAATTTGAGAGGACAGAAATTTAAAGCATCTTTTCTGAGCATAATAGTATAAACTCAGAAAATCAATCACAAAAATGAGGGGGAAAAAAAGACAATTACATGGAGACTAAGCAAAATGCTACTTAAAAACCTATGGGTCAATGATGAAATCAGACAGGGAATCAGAAAATACCTCAAGAAAAATGACAATGAAGACACAGCCTTATAATAATCTATTGGATTCAGCAAAAGCAGTTCTAAGAGGGAAGTTCATAGTGATATAGGCCTTCCTCCAGAAACAAACAAAATGTCAAAAGATGAACCTAACCAACCACCTAAAACAATTTAAAAAAACAAAAGAGCAAAACCCAAAGTCAACAGAAGGAAGAAAATTATAAATGTAAAAGAAATAAACAGGTGTTTTTTTTTTTTAAAGACAAAGATTCATAAGACCAGGAGATAATTTTTTGAAAGGATAAACAAAATAAAAAACCTCTAGTCAGGCTCACCAAAAAGAGAGACAACCCAGATAAACAAAATAAGAAATCAAAGAGGAGAAGTAACAACTGATACTATAGAAAAACAAACAAAAAATCCTAAGAAAATACTATGAACAGTCATAAGCCAATAAATTCAACAACCTAGAAGAAATGGACAAGTTTCTAGAAACATACAGGAAAAAGCAGGGTAAGAGTTAGCAAGTATATCCACAGTTGTGCAAATAAACATGAAATGCGTGTTTTCATCTTATCTATTTCAAGACCTCGATACATGTTGGTGTTTCAGACATGTTTTTAGGAATATGGAATGTATTAATGTACATGTAAACACATATTTTCCTACTGGAACTTACTCTGTATTTGCTAGAAAATACAATAAGCAGCTCATCTATGACATTAAGTTGCATAGTATAATGGATGGTGATGGGTCCTAAGGAAGTTAAGAAGGGCAGCAAACAGATGATGAAAAAATTAGGAGTTTATGATGGGTTGAGGCACTAAACTGAGTGTTGGTATTTGGACTTCTAATGAAGATGGAAACTGAGGGCATATTTTAGGTGGTTTATTTCATCCTTTCCAATTGCTGCAGTCATTATTTTGTCTTACTGAATGAAACTGGAACTCCAGGAGGACACTAGAACTCACTGTCTTCCTTTTATTCTAATGGGGATATTTTAACAATGGTTCAAAGTTACAGTCTTTCTAATAGCTTTATGTAGATGTTATTTATTTATAAGATTAAGAAAGATCACTACTAGGGAGTTCCCTGGTGGCCTAGTGGTTAGGACTTTCACTGCTGTGTCCTGGGTTCAATCCCTGGTTGGGGAACTGAGATTTCACAAGCGGTCCAAAAAAAAAAACTAAGGGGAAAAACAAAGCACAAAAACAAGAAGGACCACTTCTACCCTTACTTTGATATCTAAGTGTAATAGGTATGAACAATCCACAAATTGAGGACTTCTCCATTCAGTATCATCACATGTAGAAAATACCTGGAAATGTTTAAGATCTACAAAGGGAAAACTAAAAAACACTGCTAACAAAACTAAAGATCTAAATAAAAAGATATATTATGTTTATAGGTTGGGAAACAGTCTTTCTTTATGTTTGTGTGTGCTTAGTTGCTCAAGCACGTTTGACTCTTTGTGACCCCATGGACTGTAGCCCAAAATGCTCCTCTGTCCATGGGATTTCCCAGGCAAGAATAGTGGAGAGGGTTGCAATTTCCTACTCCAGGGGATATTCCCAACCCAGGGATGGAACCCAAGTCTCTTAGGTCCCCTGCATTGACAGGCAGATTCTTTACCACTGCATCACCATACTGAAGATTAAATGCAGTCCAAATCAAAATTCTAGCAGGAATTTTTGTTACGCACAAACTGAAAAGTGGATTCTAAACTTCATATGGGGGAATTCCCTGGCAACGCTGCACTTCCATTGCCAAGGGTACAGGTTCAATTCCTGCTCAGAGATCTAAGATCCCATATGACAAGCAGCCAAACAAACTTCATATGGAAAGGCAAAGGAGAAAGAATGGCCATAATAACTTGGATAAAGAAGGTCCAAGGAAAAAAAAGAGAGTCCAAGGAGTACACAACCTTGAGATCAAGACATATTATTGTTAAAAGTAAGTTATTCAACACGTGAAAGTACTGGCATAAATAAAGTGGATAAGTGCAACTGAAGAGAAAGTCCAGAAATAGACATATACATACATGCTTGACCTTCCATGAAGATACTAAAGCAATTTAAGAAATAAGCTATACTATTTTAAATCATTATCACTGCAGCAATTGGGTATCCATATTTTTTAAAAAATAACTTTCCAAATCAACTGAGGATGGCTTATTAAAATCATTAAGAAACCTAAATTTAAAAGTTACAGAAGGAAATACAGGAAAAATTCTGTCTTTAAATTTGGGAAACATGTCTTATTTACAATACCAAAAGAATAATCAGTAAAAGAATAAATAGACAAACTACACTAAAATTAAAGAGTCTTGGGAATTCTCAGGTGGTACAGTGGTTAGCACTCTGTGCTCCCACTGCTGGAGGCACAGGTTTGATCCTTGGTTGAGGAACTAAGATCCCTCATGCCCAGCAGCATGGCCAAAAAAAACAAAACTCTTTCTCTGGAAATGTGACTGAACTGAGATGACCAAGTCTGGAGGAATACTGGTAAATAGTTCCAGTAAAGTACCTTAATCAATAATCCATGAAGAAACATCAAGTCAGTAATTAAGAGGGCAAATCATAGGAACAGCAATTTCAATAATGATATATGGGTGGAAATTAACACATTGAAAATGACTCAGCATCATGTCAATAGTAAAATGCTACTTCAAATCACTGGATACAGCTATGACATCACAGAAATGAGGAAGCCCAAACACACCAAGTGTTGGCAAGAATGGCAAGAACAGAAACTTGGATTTTAGTGCTTCTGGTGAGACTGTAAAAAGATTTAACCACTTTAGAAAAGGTTGAGTGACCCCATGAAAGTCGTACATCCACCTACTCTACAACACAGGAGTTGTGCTACCAGATGTTAACTTGAATGAAGGCAAGCCTAAGTTCAGAAGGGCACTTCCCAAGTGTGAACTTTCCTGTTTTTTATGAACTTGGAGCTGCCTACAAAGAACTATGCTCATGAGGCTTTCATCTGGTGTGGATTCTCTGGTGGACAACAAGACTTGTTTTGTAAGTGAAGGGCTTCTCACATTCACTGCATTTAAAAGGCTTTACTCCAGTGTGGGCTTTTTGCTGTTGAACAAGTGTAGCCTTGTGCATGAAGGCTTTCTCACATTTGTTACACTTATAGGGTCTTTCTCCAGTGTGGGTTCTCTGGTGCTCATCGAGTTTAACTTTGCCATTGAGAGCTTTCCCACATTCAGTGCACTGGTAATGCCTTTGTGCAGTGTGAATATTCTCATGTCTGTTGAGAGCGAAACTGGTTGTAAACAATTTTCCACATTTGTTACACCCATAAGCCTTCTCCAAAGTATGAATTCTCTTATGCACAACAAGACTTCCTTTGTAGACATAGGCTTTCCCACATTCACTGCACATAAAAGGTTTTTCTCCAGTGTGGACTCGCTGGTGATAAAGCAGCCTTATTTTGAAGATGAAAGACTTACCACATTTGCTACACCCATAAGGCTTTTCTCCACTATGGATCCTCTGGTGAGCAAGAAGTTTATTTCTGTACAGGAAGCACTTCCCACACTCACTGCACTTATGAGGATTCTCTCCAGTGTGGATTTTTTGATGCTGGACAAGTGAATCCTTGCGGGCGAAGGCTTTCCCACATTCAGTACACTCATAGGGTCTTTTTCCAGTGTGGGTTCTCTGGTGTTCAAAAAGTTTGTATTTGTGGACAAAGACTTTCCCACAGTTACAGCACTCATAAGGCCTTTCTCCTGTGTGAACTTTCCGATGGTGAATAAGACTGGAGCTCTGTCTAAAGAACTTTCCACAGTCACTGCACAAATAAGGTTTTTCTCCAGTGTGAACTCTCCAGTGCTCCGTGAATTTGTACTTCTTACTGAAGGCTTTGCCACATACACTGCACTTGTAATGTCCTTGCCCAGAGTGAGAGACCTCTCTCCTCTGCCTGCTTCTGTACGGATGCTGTCCATCGTGGGAAGAATAGTGCTGAAGAAAGGCCAGGCTGCCAAGGAAAGTCTTCTCAATGTCTCCGCACCTAAACACAGTGTCAGCCAGGTACAGAACATCCTTCTCTACCAGGGCACGCATACTGGAAGCGAGAGTCTTCAAGATAGAAGGGTCAGGCTGTGGATTCCTGTTTCGTGTCACTTGCTTTACAGAAACACACTGTTTAGAAATGGCCTTCTCAGCTTCTCCTCCCTGCCAACAACCTGAAAGGAAAACAAATAGTACTGATAAAGTGTGTGGAGACTTTTGTGGGACAGGAACCCATTACAGATTTCTGTATGACACATCAGAGAGTAAGTCCATGGCAAAAGATTCAAACAAGGGAGGTGGACAGGTGGCAGAAGGGGTTACTGTGAATACTAGGCCTCTGTGATTGGAGAATAGGGAAAAAGACAGGATGCCGGGATATGGTGCTGTGCTGAGAGGCCTGGAACTACCCACTCTTTGGCTAGAGGTATTCAGTAGGATTTCAGGGTGGTGACAAGTGTACTAGGTAGAATGTGTCCCACTTCAGGAAAATGCATTCACGCCTGACTACTCGGTGTTCGAGGACTATATAAGTACTTGCACCTCCTAAGATACATTAAGAATGGACTACTGGTACTGTCCTTCTAGATTTCAAATATATATATATATACACATTTATATGATATTTGTTTTTCTCTTTCTGACTTATTTCACTCTGTGTAATAGGCTCCAGGTTCATTCACCTCATTAGAACTAATTCAAATATGTTCCTTTTTATAGGTGAGTAGTATTCCATTGTATGTATGTACCACAACTTCCTTATCCATTCATCTGCCAGTGGACATATAGGTTGTTCCACATGCTAGCTATTGTAAACAGTGCAGGGCAGCAAAAGAGACAGAGACATAAACAGCAGACATTTGGAAACAGTGGAAGGAGAGAGTGGGATGACTTGAAAGAATAGCATTGAAACCTATACATTACCATATGTAAAACAGATAGCCAATAGAAGTTTGCTGTGTGACACAGGGAACCCAAAGTTGGTGCTCTGCGACAACCTGGAGGGATGGAGTGGGGAGGAAAGTGGGAGGGGGGTTCAGGAAGGAGTGGATATATGCATGCCTATTGCTGATTCATGTTGATGTATGGCAGAGGCTATCACAATATTGTAAAGTAATATCCTCCAATTAAAATTAAAAAAGAATCAACTACTGGGACTTCCGCTATGATCTAGTGGTAAAGAATCCACCATCCAGTGCCAGGGTGAGGGGGGTGGGTTCTATCCCTGGTTGGGGAACTAAGATCCCACATGCCACCAGTGTGGCAAAAACAAGTGAACAAACAAAAAAACTAACAAAAAAGAACAGACTGCTAGTGGAGAAGATTGCAGGGAGAGAGGGAAAGGAGAGATGTAGGTGACAGTGAGGTAGAAAAAGACAGGGGTCTGAACTCACAGTAGAAATAGACAAAAGGGGGAAGTGTCAAAATGGGGAAGACAGAAATGAGGTACAGCCAGGATAAGCTAAAGACTGACACAGTCATGGAGGAAGGACCTGTCCCTGCAGGATTAGAACTCATCAGTGACATCACGCCTTCCTACAGCCCCTGCTCACCAGGTCCTGGATCCTGTCAACCCCCTTCCTATGACCAGACAGGTGTCTACCTCGTCAGGCACCCAGGGCCGCCTCCGCCCCTCAGCTCAGGATGGGTGAGGGTGGAACCTACCAGAGCAAAGGCTTGAGGGCAAATTGGGCAGTCAAAGACACCAGCCCAGAGTGACCCAAACAGTGACAGACTTTGGGAAAAATATTTATTTTAGAAGAACCTTGAGGAGAGTCTTGAAAAAATAACCTAGTGTTAACCACAAATGCTGACCACAAAAGTGTCTATAATCACTGAGGCAGGTGTTGCACAAAAAAGGGTTAGAACCTGTGACACAGATCTTCCACAGAGCAGAACAGTCAATACACCAAGTAGTTGCAGAGCAAAGTGGAAGCGGAAGTGGACAGACATGCAACAAGCCTCCAAGACCAAACCTTTCTGTGAAAGGCTTCAGGGCATGTGACACAGAGTGAACACCCACAAGTGGGGGATGCAGCTCAAATGCCCGGAAGCCAGGGAAGGAAGCAGTGTCCATGGCCCAGGCTGGGAAGGCTGCAGTGAGCCATGCAGACAGAAGGGCCGAGCCCAGCACAGGCGGTGTGTGCGGACGCAGTTCTTACCCAGGGAGGCGATCAGGGACAGGTTCTCCAGCATGACGTCATAGTACAGGAGTCTCTGAGCCTCGCCGAGGAGCCCCCACTCCTCCTGGGAGAAGGACACCGCCACGTCCTCAAAGGTCACATGGCCCTGTCAGGAGGGGGACACATGAGTTCACAGAGGCCTCTGTAACTAAAACACCCTCCCCACCCTCCAGCCTTCATGGCACAACACCGTGACCTGAGGGCCCGGAATCTGACATGGTCCACCTGCTGTCCACCTGCTCAGGAGTATCTTCACACCGGGACCCTGCCCCCACCTGATCCTGACACCTCTGGTGAGACACCCCTGCCACATCTCAGACTCAGCACGAGGATACGTAAGTCTGGACAGTCCTCCTGCTCATCACTCCTACTTTTTGTTGGCTGCACCAGCTCTTATTTGTGGCATGTGGGATCTAGTTCCCTGACCAGGGATCGAACCCTGGGCCCCCTACATGGGGAGCACAGAGCCTTAGCCCCTGGACCACCAAGGAAGTCCCATCACTCCTACTTCTCACTTCCCGTCTCAGACACAGTGTCCCTACCCTCACCTAAAGGCAAACGTCGTGGTGTCATGTCAGATGACTGTCCCTGACCCTGCACAGCAGAAAAGCATCCAGCTCCTCAGGCCCCCACCCCAGGAAAGGCTGTGCTCTGTCTACCCACCCACGCCCTGGGTCCTGCAGTGTCCTGGACACACCCCACTTGGTCTCACCTCCAGGCACATGGACAGGCTGGCTCCAGTCCCAGGAACATCTCACCACCTCATCTTCTCCACTGGACACATGAGACCACCTCAGTACAACTATCAAAACTGAGGAGGGGGTTCATGTGAATCCCTGAGATTGTAGGCAAGTGGGACAGAAGTACTGGTAGCCCGGAAACCAGAGACCAGAACTGGCTTCTCTAAAGTGGGTCCTGCACCTGAGGTGACCCCAGGGCCAGAACTGAGGCCCAAGAACCCTAGGACAACTGTGTCTCCTGTATCTGTGTGTCATGGGGTGGGATGACGTCTGGGGAGGCACTGTCCAGGGACCATAAACGTTGCTGCTACCATGGGCGCCTGTGAAAAGAGGGAGGATGGAAAGGTGGAGCTGTGTCCTCCCTTCCCTTCCCTGAAGATGAGTCACCTCAGGTTGACCTCTGACCTCAGAGCTATAACCTGACCACTCAGATAGCCTTCAACAGATTCAACTTCCTTCAGTTTCAGTGTCTTCATGTGTAAAATGGCAACATTTATGGTGCCTATCTCATGATGCTACTGTAGGCATCAAATGCATGATTAGTGTATGTCTGGTGCTATCACTGAGCTATTACAGAACAGAGGATTAACATGTTCATAAATGTTTTTGAAAATATGATACTTCTTACATGTCTTTTAAGTCATTATATAAATGTGACATTTAGTCAACACCTTGAAGTTTCTGTGATTCCTTCTATGATTTCCCATCTGACACCAAATATATGATATCTTTTCTACCACCAACGATCAGATTCTATGATACAAACTGGGTGCCCTACATTAATCGTATTCTGGCATCCGGAGGTTAGGGACAAAATTTAAAGGTTTAAGGGCTCAGTCTCACCGGACTATCCCTTTCTAGAGAGGCCAATTCTGACCTCTGGTTTCCAGGCTACCAATATTTCTGTCCCACTTGCCTACCAATTCAGGGATTCTCGTGAGCCCCTCCTCAGTTTTGATAATTTGATAAAATGACCTACAAAAGCAAAGAAAACACTTTTCTTTCTTCTGGTTCCTTGTAATGGATACAACTTAGAAACAGCCCAATGGAAGAGATGGCTAGGTGGGGAAGGTGGGGGGTGAAGGGAAGCGAGGGGTTTCCAGGTCCTTTCAGTACATGACACCAGCCTAGGACTTCCACCACTTCAATGTGTTCACCAATCTGAAGGAAACTTCATCTCATTTTTCAGCAGTTTTTATACCTAATCTAGTTTCCTTCTGATCCTTGGGAGGCCCCAGGGTGGGGGTGGGGGTTTAAACTAATTGCTTGGTTTTTCTGGTGACAGGTACCATGCTGAGGCTACCTAGGAGACCCACCCTAAGTCATCTCATCATAAAAACTCCTGTGTGAAAAGGGGGCTACTTGTGGATAGCAAGCCCTAACTCCTAGGAAATTCCAAGAGATTCAGAGAACTATGTGAAGAGCCCAAGACAAAAACTATTTAAATATATTATGTAAGATTATACACTGACATAGATTGCCATTTTCAGCAGTTATTACTCACTTACACAAATTAACTTGTTAAATCTATACATTTGTAACCTTGTGGTTTCCTGGAAGACCTGAGGCATCTGTACTTTGAGCCTGAGCTTGACTCACTGGTCAGTATGGCCCAATTTTTCTGGCTCCACAAGGAACAGACAGTTGGCTGAGTGTCCACAGCAGTCAGTGTACACACCCACCCTGCTCCTTCTCCATCCCCACCCCAGTCAAGGCTCCTTACTGCTTATACCCTGCTTCCCCCAGAAAGCTCTGGAGCCACAGGACCCTCCCATCGGGCAGCCTCACAAAGTCCCACTCTCTCTGCTCTCCAGCCCCAGCCTCTCTCTCATCTCAGGTCCCCTTTCATAGAAAAGTGAGAAGACCTTCCCTCCTAAACTTGAGATCCAGGCGAGGCTGCAGCCCAGGACTCAGGCTGTCACCATGGACACCTTCAACCT